CCCTGACCACAGAGACTCAAGAACAATGCTTTATCTCTATAAGCATCTTGGAACTCTGTGACTGTCTGACGGCTAATTAAACCAAATAACAGTGAAATTTTCCCTCCAGTTCTAATGAGCGTGCATTATTCACAAGCACTTACAATTTAAAAGTCCCTTCGTTTTAAAAGTTAAATAAACTGTCCCGCGGTAAGTGAGCTTCGGTTTACAAAACACTTTGTCTTACTTTCCACTGAGTTACTTAATACTCCCTCCCATAATCCATTTGCATTGATCCCTCCTTCATCAACTGCCCATGCATTCCAACACACTGAGAGCTGCAAAGAACTCCACTGCTGATTCACCAGGGAGGCAACTGGACTCAGTTTAAAAAAAAAGATACAAATAAGAATCTACTTAAGACAGTACTTATTTTTTTAAAGAGAGCTTTCCTCTTAATTATAATATAGCATTAGTTTTTTGTTTCATTCTTCTGAATTTCCTAATGACACTATCAAACAGTAACAAATATAAATTTGTGCAGCCTGGAATACACAATTTAACCATAAGCAGTAATTTCCATATCACTGAGGAGGAAAAAAAAGTCAAGTGATTAAACTCCAGGGCATGAGGACCAATCTTGAATTAAATTTTACACTCTGCTAAAGTTAGGTTTTGTACAGCAATATCAAGAATGGTTTAAAGGTAGTAGTAAAACATTTACTGTTTTATTAAAACTCCAGGCCCCAAAGTGTTTACCAAAGATCAAAGTGCTATTCTTTTTTGCAAATTAAAAATGTCTTGTAGACATCTTCAAATACCTCTTGAAAGAATAGGCAATGATATCACAGCAATCTCACTAATATTTTTCTTCTTTATTCATTCTCTTCCCTTCAGAGTCTGAACTGATGCTTTTTTGCAGGGAAGAAAAAAAAAAAAAGAGCCAGAAAATCCTCCCAGATCACTGACTCAGTGAGAACTGACCTTGTTTCTCATACAGCCCAGCCCCCATCCATCTCCTGCTCAGACATCTCAAGATTCAGATTTTTGCAACTTTCTAGTAAACTCCAAGGTGGGAAGAGAGTGAAGGTAAGGGGATCCACCGACTAGAAAGATGTTAATCCTGACAAACTGCTCAAGCAGTAGCCTGAACCACAGCTAGATTGAATTCGGTCTCTCCTGAGAGGTCGAGACAAGGCTGCTGGTAACAAAACCGCTTTTCATGGTGCCCTCAAAAGAAGATGGGCCTCACGCACAAAGTTGGAGAAGGGTGCCATTGCCCTCTAGTGGCCAAAAGTGCAATCTTCCGCGAAGGAGCCCATTTCCAGAGATGCACAAGGCTCTCAATGTCAGTGTAAAATTATAGCAGAAAGATGTTTAATTATCCTCCTCGAGTGTCTTCTTTAGTCCTTCTTTGCCCATAGAGGAGGCTGTGGATGGCTATCATAGTAATCCTGATGGAAAAGCTCATTCCTACTGGTGCACCACAATTTGTCCAACTTTCTCCAGCTTTATTTTTTTTTTTACCAGACCTGTTGATGTTTTTCCCCTAGTCCCTTAAATAACACACACGCACATATCTATAAATAGAGAGACAGAGAGAGACCAAAGATATCTACATATTTCAAGGGTAATAACTTTGGACTGGAAAGGCTGACAACTACGATGTTCTGGTAAATCTAGAACAGGGGTTCTTGACAAATCAGGTAACTTTTTATGGAACAAGGACCAATTGCATAAGAGGGAAAAACATCCCAAACACCTTTCAATCCCTTAAACCACTGGCTGGTGAATTTACACAATGCTGAGATTTTCTAGGGAAAATAAAAACTTTGGAATTTATAGTTATTCTGCAAATTTGACACTTCAAGAAAAGATTTGCTACCTACTTTCAAACTCTATAGACCACTGTCTTATCATTACTATTTAATGATAAGGTATTCTTATGATCAAAGTGAAAAAAATCAATATTGAAAATAAACTTAAACGAAATGATCATATTTCTGGAACATCTGCCTACATAAATGTGTAGAAAATGAAGGCAGACTAAAATCAGATTTGCAGATCTTTAGATGGTTCTGAAAATAGCTTTGAATATCACAGATCAAAGGTTACATGAACTGTCAAGTTCATAAGTCACAGACATTCACAGGCAAGGTTCTGGGACACACTATGCTTATGGGACTGTAGCTCTGGCATTGTAAATCAAGCCTTGAGGTCAAAGTCATGGCGTTTCCCATATGAGGGTCCCCAAACCAGAATCTTTACAAAGCAGCCATGTAATTCTATTCAAAGTGGAAGAAAAACCATGAATTATGAAGACAAGTGCATTAAAGGACCATGAAATTGATCTGTATTCCCCCAAATCACAGCATGGCTCTCCAACCCTGCCCCTCCTCTTCACACGAATAAACAAACAAACATACACAACCACAGCCAACACTGCAAAGAGGAAACATGAGTTCTGGGTCGTAAAAAAACAGATGTAACTTTTAAAAAAATTCTCAAATTAACAAAATATTGCATCTTAATTGAAAACAGAATTTAGGTTTCTAGTAATTTCACTGCCTGGTGTTTCGATAAGAATGCTGAACATAACGAAAGTTCTGAAGTGCTATCAAGATGGTCCAGTGCTTCAATTAGAGCTATTTCAAAAGCCTATTTTTCTAGTAAGCAATAAGCTCAGTTTGAGTAAATCTACGTGTCTGGGCCTCAACAGATTATCCTATCTCAGTCCGTTCAGTGCGGCTCTTCATTTTCCCTCCCCCAGGGGTGGGGAGGGTTATTTATTTCTTTCTTTTCTGACAATGTAATAAAATGACCAGCTTATACAGACTCTGAAATAACAAGGAAAATAATGGTAATAATAATTATTAATAATAAAGTGCAGCTGCAAGACATTTTAAATGTATTAATTTGCAGTGTTTCAGAAGCAAGATGTAAAGATAACTCTCACTCAAGGAAAGTTTCCTGGCCTCTCAGATGCCTTTTCCTGGTCTGTACTTGAAAACTACTCACATTCCTTTGTACTAGGCAGGATTTCAGTCTTGCACAGAGGTTTGAATTCCAGGGCCCACTGGCCAACTCTAAAACTTTGAATTAGAGCTCATGACTAAGGAACTTTAGTGACCAGGAGCTTCAGGGTCCCTCTGGCATTGGCCCCAACCCTCTGTCTCTTTGTTTTGCAACTTTTATTCCTTTCTTCTACTGGAAGAAGACCAGGCTCCCTGCAGCTGGGGTTGGGCAGTGATTACTTCTGGGTTCTGATGGCTGCATCTCTGTATTTGTAGGGAAAATAATTCCAGGATTAATGAAATGAAGGTCAGCCTCTTCTCTTCTCTCTCATGGTATTAGGCTCTAGCTCTCAGAGCCCAGCGTGGCAAATGTGCTCATGCTATGCTGGCAGATCCTCGCTCCTGAGAACACTTCTACACCTCGGTCCCCGGGAAATCCAGACACCCCGCAAAACCATCGATGTTTGCTGTAAGCCCAAGTGATAAATCGATCCATCCTCTCACCAGATTAATTATCGTGGCTTCCCTGTGATTAAATCGAAAACTTACTCTGCCTCGTATGAAACTGATAGGAATGATAGGAAGAGGAAAACCAGGGAAGATTGCAGAGCCATCCGAAAACGATTTCTTTAGAGGGAAACGGGAGGGAAGACTTTATAGGCAGATGTATACCTACATGCAGCAGGATTTTAGAAACAACCTTCCACCCCACCCCTTAGGGACGACCCGTCGTCATGCAGGGATGGCATTATTAAATAATTAAAAGATGCAATTTCTTAATAGCAGTGCTTTGGCCCGTGAAATTCCTGCTGCATTATCAGCAAAAGCAACAGGGCTTTTCTTTTTCTAGCATTTCGAAACCTTTCACCCGGGAAAAGGAGGCGTGTGGACACAACCGCCCCCGAGCCCCCCCTCCGCCCAGAAAGCAAGGAGCAAGGCCTTGGCAAGAAAGGGATGAAGAAGAGCGACCCGGGGGCCTCCCTGACCCCAATTTCTCTGGGGACTCTTTTCTTCACAGCACCAGGCAGGCCTCCTACAGCTGTACCCGGGTGTAGGGGGAGAGGGGTGCTCTCCTCGCCGGACCCCACGTCCTGCGGGGTTCTCCAAGCTCCTCACCCCCGGCTCCCGTTCCGGGGCAAACATAAGGGAGGGAGGCCGTGCGTGCGGAGCTGGAGAGGCTCGGCGCGTCCCGGGAGGAGGCGCAGGCTGCGGGGAAGGCTCGCTTCGCAAAGTTAACGTTGACCCCGGCAAGCTCCGCCAAGCCCCAGCCAGAGCCGAGCCCGAGTCTGAGCCGCTTACGGGTCACCCCTTGAGCTGGCGGGTGCTGACAAACGGCCCCCCGAGCCCCCGAAGAGACTCCGGCTTGAGGGCTGGCGCGCGCATCGCAGTCGGCAGCCCCAGCCGCAGTCAGTGGACCCAAACCCACGCTATAAAAGTGCCGGGGGAATCGCCGACCCGAGCTGGGTTCCTTCGGTTTTCCGGGGCTTCCCCGGCGGTCTCGATGGAGGAATTGAGTCCCCGGGAGCACTCGGCGGGGATGGGGAGGAAGGGGTAGGGATCCTGCAGAGCGCGGTCATGTCGTCGCTTTCGCAGAGAGTCGCAGCGCGGGCGGGCGGGCACCGCGCCGGGGGCGACTTTCCCCGGAGACCTGACCAGGGGGCAGTCGGCGTGTCCGGAGCGCAGCTCTGCAGCCTCTAGTTCCAGCCGGGTGCAAAGCCCCTGTCTCGCGGCCTCGGCGCAGACCCCATAAAAGGCCGGAGCTGGGGGAGAGGCTGGAGCGCACATCTGGCGCCTCTGCCCCCTAAGCTGCCCGCGCCCACAGCTGGCTCCCTTCTTCCTTCTCGATTTTTAAACAAATCTCTTACCTCCGCCGTCCCCCCGGTTCTGCTTTGCATTAGTGAAACCGTCTCGAGTCAGTTCTCCCCCGTCCCCAAACATTGAGACACCCCCACCCCACCCGAAGAAGCCCCATCCAGGCGAGAGGAAGGCACTGGCGGCGCGCCTCACCTGGGGCCCTGGAGGGTGGGCACGAGGTGCGGGCCGTCGGTATCTGGCGCAGGGCGAGCGCAGCGGTGTCAGCCCCGGCCCTAGTCCGGGTCCCATTCACAAGTCGGCGGCGGCTGCGAGCGGCCCCCGCGGCATCTGCTCGCGACGCTCCCCTCGTCTGGCGGCGGCCGCGGAATGAGCCGCCGAGCGCGCCGGTGGCAGGAATGAGAAACCGGGGGGAGGTGGCTGGCGGGGTGGGGGGGCGGAGGAGGAGGGAGGCCGCCGCTGGGAGGGAAGGAAAGGGCGGGGGGTGGAGAGGAGCGGAGGCCGCTAGTCGCGGCGAGCTGGGCCTCGCAGACGCTGCGGGGGCCGGCCCGTCCGCGTCCCTGCCCCCAGGGGCCCCCGGGATGTCAGCCCCCGGGATTCGTGGCCGCTCCCTTCCCGCCTTGGGTCGCCGCACTCCGGCTCCCCTGGGGCTCAGACGGAGTCCGGAGCGACTGAAGTTGGGCTCCAGGGACGCACAGCCAATCAGGGAGGGCGGCACAGGGATACTGGGGAGGGCTCCGGGGCCCCTCTTTCCTCCTTCGCCCAAATCCGCTCCAGCTGGTCAGGCTGGGCCCTTGGCCCAGGAGGCCTGGGTGGTGGGTAGGGGGAAAGCGTCGGCCAAGTGGGGGAGGCAATCCGGCATCGTGCTTCCTCACCCCATCGCCCCACGTTCCAAAGATCCCTCCACGTCGGTGGCTTCTGCCCTACTCCCTCTCCCCATGCCTAGCAAACTCTGCTTGGGGCGGGGTGGTGAAACCTGGGGGAGGGAGACTTTGGACTTGGGAAGAACCACGTCTCTGTTCTCTCCCAGTTCTCCCTCTCCTCCCCCCCCATCCCCAAAGCCTAGTGTGGGGAAGGCGGGTGCCGGGATCGCTTAGCCAGGGTCGGCCCGGCCCCCGCGCCAGGCAGGTACAGTGGCCCCCGCCCGCACACAGCGTCACTTGTTGCCTCAGGCCCCCTCACCGCCCGCCCGCCCCGGCTCGGTGGAGAGTGCGGTTCTGCGGGAGACCGGGCCTGAGGGCGCAGTGCCTGCATCCTCCCTGGGTGGCCCCCGTAGCCCTCCAGGAGGACTCGTTGGAGGAGGGGGCCCCGGGCCTGCTTCCTGCCCTCGCGGAGTCGCCGGGAGAAAAGGCTGGCGGGGCCTCGGCTTCGGAATCACGCCAGGGACTGGGCGGGGCGCTCGTGCTTCGGGAGCGGTGCTGGGACCCGCACACGCCGCCGTCCCTAGGGTGGAGGCGGACGTCTGTGACCTGGTGGGAACCCCTGGCCGGAACAAGTTCCTTTGGTGGGAGGCGGCGGACAAAGCAGAGATGGAGGGAAGATGAAGCAGCAAACGGATAATGGGGAAAAGGAATCCCAGGAGGGACGGGGATGAGGACGGAAAAGGAGTGATGGGCCCGCGAAGAAGGGGAAGGAGGAAGCGGAGGGAAAGCCGGGCGGGAGGGGCGGAGAGGAGTCGAGGAATTAACACTAATGAGGTCGAAGAATGAAGAGAAAGCCTCGGAGGGTGCGCGAAGGGGGAAGGGACTGTAGTAGTGGGAGGTGAGTGGGGGCGGCCAAAGCCGGCTCTCGGGCTCCCAGCCCTGTTCGCCGGAGTCCCAGCTGCCCCCCGGAGTCCCAGCTGCCCGCAGAACCCTCACGTTTGCACGCGGCAAGGGACTGCGCCGGGCTGCGCGCGGGGGCGACGGGCGGGGCGGGGCCATCCGGCTACCACGCCCCCGCCCCTCCGTGCGCCCGCCGGCTTCTCGGCGACTCCGGGATCCCTGAGGCGTCGGCCGCCGCCCCAGCCGGCGTCCTGAGCCAAGCTGCCGCGTCCTTCGCTCTCCTTGTGGCCGTGGCCTTTAAACTGCCGTTTCCTCGGCTGGGGGGCGCTGAGTTTCCCGCTGGGAGGTAAAGTGGGCCCCCTTTACCTCCCAAATGCCGCAAGGAGACAGGCCTCTGGGCGCTAGATACCCCCCTCCCTCGCCCTACACGTGCCGGTGCGAGGCCCTCGCGAGGCCGAGGAGGCGGAGCGCTTTCCCCGAGAGCGCAGTGAGTGGGACGCGGTGCCTGTCTCTTCTCCCTCCACAGGTTGGTCCCTTCCACACTCTGCCTACTTCCTTTATCATCCTCTCTGGTCCTGTCTTTTCATCTGCCACTTCTGTCTGCTCTAAGCCCTAAAACTTTGTATGGGCTTAGTATGTCCTACGCCACCGCCCAGGTCCCCGCACTCTAAAGGGGCAGAACATGGTGATGGGGTGCTCTGACCTCAACGCTTCCACTTATAAATGAAGTTACAGAGGAGAGGAGGGAACAGGGCCCCACTCTCCCTCAGGGATACTCGGAGTTTGCCCTTGTCTACCAATGCTTGTCTGAATTTTCTCATGCTTTCCACGTAAGTGAAAGTGGAAACAGGAAGGGAACGTGGAGGGCTTATCAGTCTAATTGCAGGTATACAGTGATGTCGGGGATTGGTGATGGTTAGGACAGCGCTTGATCCGTGAGAAAAGTTTCATTAATTCCATTTTGGAGACAGGACCAAGGATGAGCCTTGTCACATTTGACCTGACATTATCCGGAATGTGTTCTTTGCTTTTTGGTTAAGAATTCGTTAAGTGACAGCAGTTGTTTGTTGGTGGTGGTCAGTTATTTTTAGACCATCCCTTCCGTGAATGATAGCATCAGCGGATTTTCAAAAGTATGTTAAAAATTGCTTGGTAGGGCTTCCCTGGTGGTGCAGTGGTTGAGAGTCCGCCTGCCAATGCAGGGGACACGGGTTCGTGCCCCGGTCCGGGAAGATCCCACATGCCGCGGAGCGACTGGGCCCGTGAGCCATGGCCGCTGAGCCTGCGCGTCCGGAGCCTGTGCTCCGTGGTGGGAGAGGCCACAACAGTGAGAGGCCCGCGTACTGCAAAAAAAAAAAAAAAAATTGCTTGGTAGATTTCTACTGACATTGCACAGCTGAATCAGATGGAACCCAGTGTATAGCAGCAGTCAATATTCCTTTGCACAACCCAGCAGTTTTATTCCTGGGAGTCTACTTAAGACAGCTGGAAACTTATGTCCGCACAGGCACATGTGCCTGAATGTGCATAGCAGCGTTAGGCATTATAGCCCCAAACTGGAAACAGTTAACATGTGCATCAACGGGTGAGTGGATAAACAAAATGTGGTATATCCATATAATGGAATAGTATTCAGCATTAAAAAGAAAAGAAATACTGATGCATGTTACAGTATGAATGACCCTTAAAACATGCTAAAAGCCAGATGCAGAAACCAGATATTTTCTGATTCCATTTATATAAAATATTCAAAAAAGGCAAATTTATAGAGACAGGAAACAGATCAGTGGTTGTCTCGGTATGAATAGGAATTAACGGCAAATGGGCATGAAGGAACTGTGTTGGGAGATGAAAATGTCCTAAAATTGGATAATGATGATGGTTGCACAAATCTATACATTTATTAAAATTCATTGAATTATAACCAAAAAGAAAGGCAAAAATTTCTTTTACACCTTTATTCCCAGAGTATCTATGACCTACAGCTGAGCCCCAGGGGAAAAACTTTTTGCAAGGCAGTTTTTTAGAGAGATAAATGTTTAAACAAAAAAAGAAGAGTTCTAGTTCTTATGGAAAGATAACCATACTTCTATTCAGCAAGTTCTATTTTGGCGACTGCTTTGGAGAGTCTTATAAGTGTTAAAGCAAGTTAATTCCCCCCTTTCACTCTTCTAAGTGATTAATTCCTGGGAACTAGAGTTAGGCATTCCAGTTCGTGACATTTTAAACACACCTACACATAGACACAGTACAAAGTGCACATTTCCGAGGGGATTTTTGTATGACTATGTTAGGATCTGTCTTAGAAATCCATATCAAGCACTTGGGTGGAGTATTGTGTGATTACAGTTTGGATTAAAAAAGGAAAAGAGAAAAAAAAAAAAAGAACCCACTGACAGTTTAAATTAAAAGATTCAGTTCATCCAGCAGCCAAAAGTTTGGGTGTTTATCTTAACTTGCCTCACCTTTCCTTCACCTTGTTCTTCAAGGGAGGAAGCCAGGGTTCAGGGTTGCTCTGGAGGCAGGATTGAACGGTCCCTTCTGCTTCCTGACTCTTTCAGTTCAGACAGAGACAAGGCTCAAATGGGCCTTTTCTTTTCTTTGTCCTTGTCAGCAAGAGGCTGGTAATTTCCTGTTGGTTCCTTCATCAAAGTTACCAGGCTCTCATCCCTTTGATGCCTCTGTCCTCAGACTCTGAAGATAGTCAGGCCCTGCTGAGTCAGTTCCTTGTTTTCACTTAGAAGCCCCAGGCTACCCCAGGCCTTCTCAAAGTTTCCTGCTCTAGAGGCATCCTTTGGTAAATGGTATAAAAAGTGAGGCAGGATCCAAATAGGGAGATGGTTTTATCACATTGCAGTAGGCCTGCATCATGCCTTCCCCAGGCAGAGGGAGAACACTGAGAAAGATTGAACAGGTATGCCTGTTCTGAACCAGGCACTTCAGATAGAGATTCCCACAGCTGAGGCCACAGATAAGTGAGGAGACCACAGGCCTTTGATCTGAGTCTGATTCCTGGTTCTGCTGCTTACTAGCAAAGACTTTAATCTCTGTAAGATTCAGTTTCCAATTCTGTAAAATGGGGCTTGTTATCTGTGCCTAGACTGTTGCAGGGATTAAATGTGCCCATGTACCTAGAGCAGTAAGCACTGTGCTTAAAGCAGAGGCTCAATAAATGAAAGTTATTAATTACTATTATTAATTATGAGGTCTGATTATTGTCACACCTTAAATCACCTGAGCAAGAAAGGAGTCATGTTACAGTATGAATTATAATAATGATGGAGATTAATCTTATTATAAATGATATCAGTAATAAAACTTCTGGTCAAGAATATTTTAGCAGTTCAAAATTTACTGACATTGTAAGGCCTGTCATGGGTCATATAGAATTAGACGTGCCAGCCTTGGGGGCAGGGGCCCTGGGTTCATGTCCTAGATCTGCAAATTCACTGAATCACCTTGGGTAAGTAATTTTCTTTCTGTGAGCCTCAGTTCCCGTGGCTGTAAATGAGAGCTTACTCAACATAAGTTCTGAGGAGGATACTTTCAGAGCTGAAATTCTGGAGTTTTTTAAGTCAGACTCTGTTAAATTGAAAACATCTCTTAGATGCATTTCCTCTTTCCACCACTAGGAGCAGTCAGGCAATCATCTCAGGCTAAGACC